TAACTTGCCCTTGATAAAAGCTTGCCCTTGATAATAAACTTGCCATGACAATAACTAAATTGTCTTTATAGTAGCATGTCCTTGATAATGACATGCCCTTGATAATAACTTATCCTTGATAATAACTTGGCCATGATGATAACTTGCTCTAGTTGTTCAGCCCTACCAGTTTGCATTGATCCAGTTGCTGCCAGCAGGCTACCAGAGTTCTAGAATCTTCTCTGACATGACTCATTTTGTTGTTAGCTCGACTATTCGATAAGAAAAAGTAGAGCAATTGCAGTCACCCTAGCGTCGGCGTCGGCGTAACCACTTATGTTAAAGTTTTTGTAATACCTCAAATATTTTCAAAGTCCATTGACATATGGCTTTGAAACTGTGCACACTTGTTCACCATCATGACCCCAACCTGTAGACAGGAGGAGGTAACTCTATCAAGCATTTTGAAAGAATTATGCCCCTTTTTCGACTTAGAATTTACGTTAAAGTTTTTGTAATACCTCAAATATTTTCAAAGTCCATTGACATATGGCTTTGAAACTGTGCACACTTGTTCACCATCATGACCCCAACCTGTAGACAGGAGGAGGTAACTGTATCAAGCATTTTGACAGAATTATGCCCCTTTTTCGACTTAGAATTTACGTTAAAGTTTTTTTAATACCTCAAATATTTTCAAAGTCCATTCACATAATTGTGGCTTTGAAACTTTGCACACTTGTTCACCATCATGACCCCAACCTGTAGACAGGAGGAGGTAACTGTATCAAGCATTTTGACAGAATTATGCCCCTTTTTCGACTTAGAATTTACGTTAAAGTTTTTTTAATACCTCAAATATTTTCAAATTTCAGTGACATATGGCTTTGAAACATGTTAAAATTTTATTCTCTTCTTTGAGAGCATAATAGGACTCTCTCCAAGGCCTATAACTGTAATATGGATTTAAAGAAAAATTTTGCCTTTTTCTTTACTTAGAAATTTTACCTATTAATCAAGGCTTTTTTTTTACTATCAAGCACTAAGAATAGTCGAGCGTTGCTGTCCTACCTACAGCTCTTGTTTTTGAATTAGAAATTTTTGTCCAAAATGATAAGATTTTCACTATCTTAAAGTGATTGTCATCTCCTCACTGAAAGTTTTAATCTTAGATATTTATCAAGGCCTAGATATTTCAGGGAAAGTGATGCCACTATGATTAGACAAAAAAATGAGGGGCTTTAATAGAACTAAAAGAACAAGTATTTACTGTGAATTATTATGTCAAAGGAAGAAAGTTTCAGAAATTAAATTTGAAATGATTTAGATGCATGAAAAACAAAATACTTGACCTTGTTCAAAAATGTGAATGAAAATATAACAGTGCCTCTACAGTTATTAAGTCAGCACAGTTTAGACCTAATCATGCCTGTAGTTGACAGGGCGTTACATTAACACCTTCGGTTGGAAAATAGTTCAGATGTAAACACCAGTTCAATAACTTTCTGGTCGTTTTCTGGATTTTCGCATGACAGAAAAACAACTATTTATGAAAATGATGGAAAATTATTTATGACCTGCTGTTCAAGTAATTGCATGAAAAGGCATAGGGGCCTTTTAAGAATTTTGCTGTGTTACTGAAAGATTTCTTTGAATAAACATATCAAGAGACAAGCCTATTAGCTCAGTATCTGGAGTATTAAAGTCTGCTGACTTAATAGGAATACCTGACAACTACATCAGTCCTTAGTTGTTAAAATTTGATCAGTTCTCTCACATGACATTTTCATCAGTTTTCACAGTCTGTACAGACAAGTTGAAATTTTCAAGAATTACCTATATAAATATCATTCAGATAAGTTAAGAAATGCATCAGAGTTAGTCAAAATCAGTTTTATACTTGGGGAGAAGATGTTTAATTATTGTATATTTAATTATTTACTGGATATGTATCTCTTCCAATTTTCTGTAATGTTTGAAAAGATTTTCTTTTCTTTAATCTTGTCTGCTGCTTGACGCCTATCTAAAAGGTTCATCAAGTACATTCTGCAGAAGTTATATTAGAGTAAAGAAAGCATATTGCTGTCTTTGTAAAGTTACTCCATTTCTTCACAGGGGAGCTCTGCTTTGTGACTCACTTGACTCAGTTTTTCCCACAGAATCAAGTGTTCCAATCACAGATTTTGTCTCGGGTTTTGTTGTTTGTGGTAGCTGTAATGTTTATAAGCCAACAAGCTGTGCAGTAGGGGTATTTTGAGAGATCTAGTTTTTGTAAGCTCACAGGTCTTCTTATAAAGCTATTTTGTGAGCTCTGGATTTTATTTAGCTCAGTTTGTAAGGGCTAAAATCTACTTGTATGACATGATGCAAGCAGATTTAACAAGGTTATATGATTAATTAATCCTATTTAGGCTTTTAAATCTAATTTAAAAGAAATCATTTTAGTCAATAAAAAACCGTTTTACTAAAACTTTTTGTCATGGAAAGAAGTTATATGATGAATATATCTTTAAGGTAATCTTCTTTTCTATTAAGTGTCTTTTCTTTTTCCTTTAGTTCATGTGCTAAAAGTATTTTTTATTTGTTCAAATTTGATTTTTATCTAATTCACTAAAAAAAAAATCCATTGAAAACTCATTTCCTTTTGATAAGATTTTTGTGACATTTCTACTTTTTATCATTATAAATTAGACAGACAGGTCACCCAGGAGTTTAGAGGATTCAGCTGAATGAATATTTATCTGTATTTAATTTAATTGCAAATTTTCCACCATTTACGTAAAGTGCAAAAACATCTGGTTTGATGTGCCTGTGGTACTTTTTTCTCTCACCATTTCTGTAAAATTATCACATAAAGTACATGTAACTGTCCCAGAAAACAGCTCAGTCTCAGGTCCCTTGGTGCCATTTATCAGTTCAAAATTGAGATAGGTTTTTTTTTTAGATAGGTTTTTGATTGAATTTGTGTGGTCAACAAATTACTATGTCTTGCAATATTTAGATTTTTCTCTGCCTTTTGCTCTAAGTCTAAATGAAATATGTGAAAACAATTACTTTTGCATAGTATCCAGTAACTGTGAGAATGGTAATTTATACCTAATACTTTTTTATAGAAGGAGAGAAAAAAATGTCATAACATATCCAAAAAAAAATCATTATCTGAATTTAAAACTAAGCTAGAAAGACAGTAAATAATAATCATGATAAATCTTATCAATGTAACAACTTTAAAAAAAAAATATTGTAAATTGTTAGAAATTAAGTTTTCATGTTTATTTATATAATATATTTTAATTCAAAATTATTTTAAATGATGCAAAAAAGATAAGTTTACACATCGTTAAAGAGAAAGATTTCATTCTTTTAAGGAAAGCAATAATTTTAAACAATAAATGCTTTAAAAAAAAAAGAACACCTCTTGTACCCATTGATGTTATTGATGTATACATGTAGTATAGAAAATAAGGAAGGCATTGTTGGTATTTTTATCTGTAGTTGATACATTGGAACAAACAGACTTATTTTAGTATCTGGAGAACGCAGAGTGGCACCAGTGTCAGACACAGGCGTCATGTGGCATTTATGCCACGTCTTTTGACTTTTGGTTTAGACATTGCTTTGTTTGTTGCCTCCGTGATCTTAATTACATAAGAAAACATCAATTAAGATCATACTGTGAACATTAAGGGTGGGAAAAACACATGTTGGTGTATGGAATTGTTTGTTTTTCTGGCAAAACCTGCTCTTTCCAAATGTTGTTATTGTTGTTTTGTAGGCTTTTAAAAAGGACAGGGAGGGGTAGGTGTGTCGTGATGTGTCAAGGTGACATCTGTTATTATTAGGAAATATAGATCATTTTATTCTATACAAACTGTAAGGGCTTAAATTGAGGAGAAATAAAAAGAATAAGTTTTGATTGTTCTTTTTTTTCTGTTTTTGTTTTTTTGTTTTTTGACAAAATAAAGGATAGCCTTAAAAACAAAGGTTACAAGCAGAAAGTTGCAGAAATTGCACTTCATTTTTTTTTGTTGTTGCTGTAATCTTAACATTTACCATTGTAAACATGACAATAAACAACTGTAGCTAAGTTGAAAGTTATGGATCTTAAAATAACTAAAGAAATGGTTGCATTGATGAATAGAATTATGTGAACAAAGTGATGGGTTTAGAAAAACAACAATGTCAGAGTTAGCCTTTATATGTAACTTTTTTATGGTGTAAGAATTAAAAGATTCTACTAGATTTTTGTTTTTATTTCCCCTCCATGCAAGGAAAGGAGGGTCCTGATGTGCAATTATCTATTTCCTTAAAATAAGACTGTTTTATTGGCAGCCAATGGTTGTTTCTGGTTTAAAGTTAAAGACTGTTTTATTGGCAGCCAATGGTTGTTTCTGGTTTAAAATTTTAGAGTGTTTAATTGGCAGTTAATGGTTGTCTCTGGTTTAAAACTATAGACTGTTTTATTGGCCGTCATAATGGTTGTCTCTGGTTTAAAATTATAGACCGTTATATTGGCAACCAATGGTTGTCTCTGGTTTAAAATTATAGACTGTTGTATTGGCAGCCATAATGGTTGTCTCTGGTTTAAAATTAGCGATTTTATTGGCAGGCAATGGTTTTCTCTTGTTTAAAATTATAGATTGTTTTATTGGCAGTCAATGGTTGTTTCTGGTTTAAAATTAAAGAAATCTGAGGCAACTGAATAAACATATTTGTGCCAGTGTTTTAAAATCTTGTGTGTAATTTTAACCAGTCTTTAAGGACCAGAAGTTTAAAGACCAGAGGTTAAGATCGAAGTCCTCCCACTTAGATAATTATAAAATAAGCAAATGTGCCCTAGCAATAAATATACTTTTTATCAATGGCATATTTAATTTCTTTGAGTACTATATTTTGTATTGGTACTTTTCCTGTATTAATATTTCCTATTTTTAAACAATAGCAAAAGAACTTTGCTGTTTTCTGAGTTATTTAATTAACTTTGAAAGAAAATATAAAATGTTTTCTCATTATCTTTTCAGTGAAAGAGAAGCAGACGCCATATCTAATCCTGGGAGCTGAAAACTGTGTTGTCAAGCAGAATCTGGAAGTTCTTGCACAAGATGCTAAAACTGTCCTCAAACGACCCAAGTCAATCCTAACAATGGGTATGTATGATAGAAATATATGTATAAATGAAATCTCTAACTTGCCGTATATAATCAAAAAGCTAATTTAATCTTGCCGTAGCTTTCGGCCGAAAGCCGAATATATATATATATTGCCATTGAAAATAATCACAATATTTGATAACCATATTTTATGAATATGACTTTAGATAATTGAGCTGAAATTGTAGCTAGACCATTTCAAGGTGTGTGCCTATATGTACGATAGTTATACACATGTATATGTATATATTGTCATCGTAAATGATCACCATAATTATATAACCTTATTTTATGAATATGACATTAGATAATTGAGCTGATATGTTAGCTAGACCATTTCATAGTGTGTGCCCACTCTATTGTCCACCTCGGCATCTCATGAAAATTCAAATGAGCTGCCTCACAACAAAATCACCATAGTGCGTTTGCGACCAGCATAGATCCAGACCAGAGTGCACATCCGCGCAGTCTGATCAGGATCCATGCTGTTCGCTATCAGTTTATCTACTTGAAATAGAGTTGTTAAGCGAACAGCATGGATCCTGATCAGACTGCGTGGATGCGCAGGCTGGTCTGGATCCATGCTGGTTGCAAACGCACTATGTTGTTTTTGTTGTGAAGTGGCTCAAATGTACTAAAATACAGTATTTTTCTCCTTATATAAGTTTTATATTTAATTTTTTTCGGGTTAATTTCCAATGAGTTCAGAAGCAATGCTAGATAGATGGAGGCGGAGATAGTAGCTGTTGACTGGGCATGCATACTGAAACCTAGGGATAATTATGATGATAATTATGTTATTTGATTATCAAGTTCAATATGACCATTCTGTTATCAGTAGCAATTCCTGGGACTTTTAAGGCAGAGATAGATTTAGGCAGAGGTACTGGCTGCTGCCTGGATATGCACACTAAAACCTGTGAATAATTATGATTATAATTATGTGATTTGATTAACATGACCATTCTGTTATCGGGCTTTTAATACACAAAATTTATCTTAAAAGTTTATCTTACAGTAAGAACTAATGAGCATCTTGTATCCAAAAAAAAAGATAATTTTTAGATCTATTATTCAAGGAATTGGGAGAGCTATTGTACTCATCCCAAATCTGTTTCTGCGCTGATGTCAGCGTTTCTGTCGTTGTGTTTTTGCACGTAAGTTGGTAGCTTCAAAAGTACTAACTGAAGGAAAAGGGTTGAAACTTTACACACTTGTTCTCTGTGAGTATCTAACATGATGGGCACAGATCCCAAAATTCTGAGTTACTTTTTACAGAGATACTTTCCATTTCTTACAGTCAATCACTGACTCAGAATAGTTGAGCGTGCTGTCTGAAGAACAGCTCTTGTATTTAACTTTTATTAAGAAAGGTCACATTGAACAATTGGTAGTACATTGTTCCATAGGTTTTATTGTTAACTAAATATTTATAGTTAAGATAAAATTTAATTTGTCATGTTTATATTGCTCTTACAGGTTGTAGATGCTGGCAATATTGTTTTCTATGTTGTCAAATTAACAGGATATAAGTAGGCAATTAAGATGGTCGGGACATTACTGATAGCAATTTTAAATTGAAATATTAGATATATAATTACATAGATGAGTCCACATTATAAGGCTGCAGGAGGACCAGTCCATTCATTCAGGTTTTTAGTAAGTTTTAGTTTGAACGTATTTATTTTAGCTAGAACTTAATTTAAGAACTCTTGTGTTGACCTAGTTTATTGGACATTAGACATGCCCGTGTCATTTAAGGTAACATGTTTGTTATCCTAGTAGACCTTAAATCCAAAGCAGGCATCTTAACACAGAACCTTCCCATGTAATTGAATTTAATCAACTTAAGGATTAGCAAAAGTAAATATTTAGCAATACCTTGCAATTGATCATTTTATTAAAATTATTTATTCACACTGACACTATGATTTGCCTATATTACCAGTCAAGATTTAGGCCTAGATTTGAGTATTCCTATCCATGCAGTCTGCCTAGACCCTATGCCATTATATAATATGCTGTTTGAGGTTCAGTGTTGAAAACCCTTAAAAAATATTGGACAGTTGTAAGTTCAATGCAGGTGAAGATTCATTACATTTAGATTTGTGGAGAAAAGGTTTCAGATTTAATGATCTTGTATCCATAGAGCTTTATTACTAAGGAATGATTTTTGAAATTTCAGGTTGAAAAGTTGTTGTTTTTTAATATATATCAGAACTTATATAACAGTATTTAAAGGCTTCTTTTAAAAGTTTTACATTTTAATATCTTTATCATGTGGTTTAAAATGAGAAATTCACATACCGGTATGTAACATTTGTGCTTTTAACCTTAGCAGTCTTTAATGCACAGTTTCACTGTGTCTAACCAGTCACACTGATTAACAACCAGCACTGTGCCAGCATTATGCAATTTGCATTGCTATTTATCTGTTTTTAACATGAATCATTTGACAAAAGGTATTGATGTCTTACTGTGTTTAACCTTTATGACTTATTGAGATAGTAACAGGGCCAGTGTTAAGCTATATTGCATTAAATTACTTCAGCTTAAATTACCTTCTTAACAGTTATTTATGTGCTTAAGTTAATAATATGCACACCTATATATTTATTTTGATGAGTAACACATTGTATAGCTAAATATAGTATTTTTGCATGAAAAACAAACCATAATTGTTTCTATTTAATAGCAGAGGATGATGTGAATATTTAAATCTTGCCGAATATTTTCATTAGTCTGGTGTTATTAACCAAAACCCAACATTACCACCATGAAAAAGAAAAGAAAATCTGGTTGTGCCTCATTTTGAGGCAGTCTGACTGAAGTTCAAGTACCCACAAAGAGGACCATCTCAGTAAACTGGATTTTTCAAATTGCATTTAAAAGCTTAGCCAATAAGAGCATATCTTACAAATGTTAATAATGGACCTCTAAGATATGATTTTAAACAGCTTGCATTTTTAACTGTGACAACTCCATACTGATGTTGTCAGTAGTGTGACATCTTCATACAAATACTGTTTTCTTGTCATGGCGTATCAGCTAGTAAAGATTACCAGTTATACACAGTGTTAGTTGAGAAAATCATACAAACTTTAAACCTCTCAATTGTCTTGAGGCATCAAACTTGTGGCCCAACTGAAAATTTTTGATTATTACTGTCATTTTTGATGGATCACAATAATGTCCTGGAAAATAGATTTTTGAAAGGTCTGGATTCATAACATTTCTCACAGAGTTTTGTGGGAATATAAAAGTTGCTGGTCCCATTTGACATAAAACTTTTTGTATATTTCATTTTCTTTTATAGTTTTTCCTTTGGGACTTTGCACTTTTAAATGATTATTAATATTGATTGATCGGTGCAAAAGGGACGTAATTCCTTCATTACGTAAGTTACAGCTGTTATGCACAAAACCCCGGATATAGTTACAAGCATTAATTAGAAAAGATTTTATTTTCAATAATTAAAAAAAGAGTTAAATTTGTTGGCTATAATCCTACAGGTTTTATCATGATTTTGATTGAACATGGACATGTATACTGGCAGGTCATTCCATCAACTAGAATTTAATATATTTAGGCAGTCTACTTAAAATTTTATGTAGCTTTTACCAACGTGGTGGTGATGTTGGTTATGTTTACCTTCTGGATCATTGCCTCATAAACCACATTGAATTTACCATAGCAAAGGTCAGCCACCACACGATTTGTATGATGAATTTGTTTGTAATAAAAGTTTTTCTGTTAGAGAATAACAAAATCTTATAATAACATCAACAATCATGTAATTCAAGTCAAAATAAAAAGAATGTTTACTGATTCTGTGTTAATTTTAGCTGAATGAGATTTATAATTAACTGTTATCATCTTGGTAACTAAGTTTTCATTTTCTTTAAGGTAGGAATGGCAGGGGTTCAGGGCTGGCAAAATTAATTACCTTGTTGCCCAGGTTGACCCAATTAGTCTGTATGGACAAGTGAAAGTTTTCAAGAATTTACTATATAAATATCATAAGTTGAGAAATGCTTCAGATAAAAACAGACAAGTTAGTCAAAATCAGATTTTGCTGGCCCTAGGGTTTGGAGTTCATTGGAGATTATATAAAATATCTGAACCAAATATCGTTTCATATCTTTTGATCAGATTATCATATTCATTGTGAGTACCAATCCTAGAAAATTTGTTACTAAGAAAGTACAGAAAAAAAACCCTTCCATTATCTTCAAGACTTTCCTTCAAAATGTAATTCCCTCTGTGACAATTTATTGATACATTAATTTGGTTTTTTGTTGAAGCCTGAATTGAAATAAAATAGTTATATTTATTTAAGGTTCACAGTTTCAGTCGTAGTTCTAATTCATATGATATTTTTTCTAAAATTTTGAAACACAATTACATGGATTTGCAACAATGATGAAATTACCAATGTTTAATGAGCTACTGCAATTAGCTAAATATTATACAGAAAGATTTTATTTTTTTGTAATTTCAGTGATATTTGAAGAAGTCTATGAATGTTCTAGAGAAAATTTGTTTGTTTTTGATCTATTATCCAAAAAGATGCTCCTACCCAAAACGTCATTAAATAACATGATGAAGTAATGACTAGAACAGTTTGAAATTATTGAAAGTAATTAGGAAACAGTTTAGTTGCTTAATCAGTTAGAGAAACCCCCTTTATATCTAACTTAATGTGCTTCTCATTATTATGAAAACCCTAATAGCTGATTTTGTCATGGTGATTTTCATCTTGGAATATAATAATCATCACCCTAGTGCAGTAACAGGGTAACTGACCTATTAAATTATATAAGGAGTTGACCTATTACTGCACTAAAAGGTGATCATATTGTCATGAAAGTACAAAATTTGTGTTTGTTTGTTAATTACAATTAAATGTCTTAAGTTATTTCTTTATTTAAAATGACAATTATGATATATTTGAAGAAAATCACATAAGATTTATTATACCCCCAAAAACGAAGTTT